CACCACCGCCACCACCGCCACCGCCGCCGCTGGCAAGACCTCGCAGAGGTGTCCACCTCGTGGCAGCCGACACTTCCTACCGGACGGTGGTAGTGTCCAGGCGCGCTGGACGACGCACGAGCTGTACAGTCAGTCGTTCGCTTCTCGACAGAGAGGGTGGAGGAAGAACGTGTTGATGGCGCTTGGTGGTAGTTGCTCGTCACATGAGCAAGGGTGGTCTTCGAGTTTCGAATAGAGAAGAGTAAAAGGGGACAAAGACGAACGGTCGAAAGAGAGAGGAGGGTACTGAAGGGGACAGAGACAGTTGAACCCTTTTTTCCTTTCGCGCTCGACGCGTGTCATCGCTAATACGTAGCGCGTATATACGTTTGGAGGGTTTCTTCCCTCCGACGTGGCGGGTATAATACGCGGATTCCTTGAGGCCTTCACCCTTGTCGGTGTGTCACGCGTCACGGTACTACGGCACTCCGGAACGTGTGTCACGTGAAAGAAGCATCGCGGCGCGTCAGGGTCGTCGTCCTGACGACAAATTCAAGAACGGAGCGCGTCCTCGCGAAAAGGACTATCTCGTTGTACCATATAGGCATCCGCTATCATTTCGCAAAACATATTTACCGCAAGGATAGTACCGTTGAGCTATATCATCGTCGGCGGGGATACAGTGATTGGTAGCGGACTTGGCCAGGACCAGAGAGAACGACGACTCTGGAAGGGCCGAAGAAAGTCAGTGGTTGATTGATTGATTGATTGATTGATTGGTTGGTTGGGTTCGGTTCGGTTCGGTTGATTAGTTGGTTGGTTGGTGCTACGTGTGCCGGTGGCTAGTGGTGGCTCGGCTCGGACGGCCCAGGTAGCGGTAATGCCTCGTAGTAGCGATCGTGTCGCCAGGTCGCACGGTGTCGCAGGTAGGGTGAGGGATTGGGCCGACGAAGGTAGTACTGACGCGGGTGTAGTTGCGGGCACCGCGGGCAGGATACGTTGACGAGCGCAGCCGACCCCGGTGCGGCGAGGAAGAACCCTACGGGAAAGAGGAAGAAGAGGAGGAAGAGGCCTATGTCGTCCTTGATGTGCAACCCCGACAATTGTACGACTCCTGCTGCTGTCGCGCCGCCCAGAAGAGGCCGGGTAGAAGACGAAGGGAACGCGGCTCGGGAAATGCGCTCAGGATACTTTACGTCGCTGCCGCCGCTGCCTTTCTCGCGCTTGCCGTCTCACCAGGTATGAAAACGATATTAAATCTTGCCGATCATTGCAACGAGATATATTGAGCTTTATTATAAGATAAGTATATGAAGTATGCACGTTGAGTGAAAATGGAAACGTCTTAGGCTGCTTTAATTTGGCAGAGAAAAGTTTCGTAACATCTACGTAAGAAAGATTCTACAGTTCCGACAAATACATTTCTTTCGTGAGAAAGAATTTGTTAGTATCACGAAAAATGTAAATCGGAAAGAACAGTAATTTTTATAAAAATCGAATAGTCAGAAGAATATCAAAATAATTTTAATAGCGTCTTGAAACTTCATTATAATTTCATACTCTCGTTCACATTCTTATTAAATATTTAATAAGTTCTATTTTCATGCCTTTTTTAAGATGCGAGGAATAATTCGCTTTTGATATTATGTTCGATTTCTGATAAATTCAAAACGCATAAATTTTTCAAAAATATTAATTTTTTTTATTTTATTTCTCTATTAGATCTTCTTTTTTTCTTAATAATTCATAGGCAAAAATTTTTCCTGGTATCGATCCAAGATAATCATTTGTCTAAATTCAAAATAAATATCTTCTCTTTATTTTACGCTTGTTTCCGAGATTCTTCGTCTTGTATGTCTATTCTAAGGACTTGACAATAGAATTCATTCTTTTCTTCTAGCATTATCTACCTGTGTGCTATGAAAGAAAGTTTTGTGAAGAAACAATAAAATCTTTCATAAAAATTTTCGGATCGAAACAAATACTTTTGTTGCTTCTATTGAAGAAGAACTTTTATAGAATAGAAAACAATTCATTTTAGAAATCGAGATCGAATAGTATATTTGTATTTCTCAAGATGCCTGCTGACTGTAATCCGACCGTGTCCATTTACCAGAGTAATTTTAAGCTCGGTTTAATTTACTCTTTATCTTTTTCTTATTCTTAGAACTAGAGAAAGATAAAAAATAACCGAGGTTAAAGTTAATCTGCATTGGTAAAACCGGGCATAATTCATTCTTTGTCTAATCAATTCTTTGAAATATTTTAATCAATTCTTTCGCATGAAATCGCGAATTGTTCCGAGAACGTGATTTTCGGGAAGTTACGTTGTTCTCAGCTGATTGGAGCGCGAGTCGAACGGTGAATAAAATCTTAGCTTCGATTGATACATAAAAATAATAATAATAAATAATTTATTAAATGATTTAAATGATTTAAATGATCTTTTATAAATAATTTATAATAATAATATACATAAGAAATGTGTATTGAAAATACAATTAGACAAGAAGGAAAAAAAAACCAAAATAATTCACCGAAAACTGATGGACGAACGAAATAATAGATTTCTATAAACAAATGTATTATATTCGAAATAATATTCGATATAATATTTAGCTTTTCTGTTAATAACTTTCAACAAATATTATTCATATTTTAACAGTGTAGATTAAGCGTATCGTCTGTTGGTTTTTCAAACATTTTTCAATGTAATAGTAATCTTTAAAGCCGATTTCCACCAACGTTCGATTCGCAAAACGAAATTGAATTGAATCGGAATTGAATGTTCGTATATCTCGCGTAATCGACGAACGATGAACAGCCGCGGATTTATCTATGATCGATCAGACCCACGATCGAAAGGTGACGTGTATCTCGATTTCCATGAAAATTCGCTGCGATAGATACGATCACCCCGGGCCATGAATCGACACCGCGCTTCACCCTGGTTTTAACAAAAGAACCTGCGAGAACCCCAGATCGACTCGCTCGAAATGCGAAGGATAAACAGAGCAACCTTTATCGAGGAAATAAGACAAATATTCGTAGCATACCGTGCATCTGCATCATGTTCATTTGCGAATATGCAGGCACGTGTATTATTAAAACACCGATGAAGCGAGATTCTCGAAATTCCCGTTTGTTTCTTCCACAGAAAGTCCTATTCTTGATGCATCCGTATCGAAATAAGCTGCGGCGATATCGAAATGCGGCTGCTGATCGAAAGATCAGAATATCACTTTATCACATTTTACTAAAATAAATTATATTATCGCAAACGAATAACGGTGGAAATAATAAAAACTGGTACCCATTTTAAATAATTATTATTTAGTAAAATGTGTCTGAAAGATTATAGAAACGATTACTCTTAGATCGTTCTGGTCCTGAGGGTAAATGAACGACAATCGCATGACGCATTGCGTCAGAATTCAATTGTGTCGGTGGCGTGATTCGAGCATCTCGATTTCCGCTTCCATTTGGCAGAGAGGCGAGAAGTTGAATGATCTTCAGAATGTTCAGGACGAAATTAATCCTTAAACGATTAACTTGTTAAATTTTGATAATAATTACTCTTCAATAAAGGAATTATGTCAATAGATTATGTTAATATAATTTCTACTTAATAAGATGAAAGTTAAATTTTATTTTTTATTAATTTATTTCTTGATTAATAGAACTGAATAATCATAGATAAAATATTATAAAATAGTATTGCGTATTTTTTAAATATTGTGTAAAATATCGATGTAAATGTAATACATTATATAAGAGTATATTATATAGTTATTTAATTAAAATTAAAATATTCCTCAGAAAGTGTATCTATATTAAAAAAGACAATAAGAGAGATATATAGTATGAGAGATATTTCTTGTATTTCCCAGCAAAGATTGAGATAAATCGCCATTGTATTCGACTGTTAAATCGTCATTTCGTGGTTATTAAATATGTGTGACGATAGCTGCTTCGCGCACAATACGCGCCATATTTATTGGCTATAAATTATAGTTAGTCCGTAATTTACCACCCGTGAGCTAATGACATGACGTCGTATAAATCACGAGACACGCTTGGCAAGTAGCACTTCGGCGATGTGCCGAAATGATTTGCGCTCTATAATGATTCATAATTGGCAATTCAAAAGTTATAGATATATAAAGTGGATTAATTCCAAAGGAGATTACATATTAACAAGCCATTCCGATTTAACTGGTACACAATTTATTTATTCTTTTTTATATTTCCACTTATCGTTATTCATATGTGAGAAATTAGATATATAAATTCTTCCTTTTTATTAAACATAAAAAGATTTCATTTTTTTTTCAATAATTTAAGCGATACGAACCAGTACTCTTAATGTTATTTCTTACATCCATCGTTTGAAAATAATTTGATCATAATTAACAACTGCTCTCTTTGCCAAACAACTAATTGACAGGGATGTTTTCTCAAATATGGAATTGAAGAGATTCCTCCTCAGCTACTCCTTTAGACTTATTTGGCACGATTAATTTCTTAACTTTTTAATTGACATTGCTGAAGATGGTTCGAACAGAGCTGAAACATTCGATTCTTTCGATTTGTATGTAATAGTTTAAACAATACATTTATTAATTATTTCGTACGATTAACTGCGTTTAGTTTATTGCTCTCAATTGCCTGCCAATCAATGTACTTTTATATTTTTTTAAAAAGACTTCGTAACGGAATCAATGATTAATAAAGTTTACTTTATTAATTTATCTTATTTTATTATCTATCTCTATTTGTCAAGCAAAAAGAGATGTGACAAAAAATAAGAAAATTATCTAATTAAAAAAATCTATTTTCCTTTATCAAAACCACCGAGATAGCTCGTTAGAGACGAAGCCGTCACAATCTCACAAATCATAATCAGATGAGATTTTTTGACAATCGCGCATTACTCATGCAGGACCACATGCACCCCCACAGTTCGATCGTAATTATATATTCCCTTCCTTCCCCCTCCGCATTCGCCGCCCCTATTCGTTGCAGGCTCTTCTATTTATCCGACAACGCATAAATATCCTCGCGAGACGACAATCAAAGGGGACTGCGAAGTAATCTCGTAAGGGCGACGCGCATTACTCCTACCTGATGCGCCATTAAAACGTCGTCGATGCACTTAAAACGTGAATAAGAACTCTCCTCGTCTATGTAGCATCGGCGTGTTCCTTCTTCCCTCCCCCTTCCGCTCTCCTTCATTTTTCTCTTTCGATCTTTCTTCCATTCTCGCGCCGTCTCCCTCATGGATTCGTGTGGCTCGTTCGCTCAATCCGCTTGAAACGTGGCGTGTGGCCCGTAGACATCGTCGAGCCGCACCCACGCACGCTATTTATCTCGTCTGCCGAAGCCGAGTGCCAAGAGAGTATTTTTTCGCATGCCGCCTCTCGGATCTCTCTTTCTTTCCCTCTCTTTTTATCCTTCGTTCTGTTAACGCGACCAGAATCCCCTGGACCCTCTAGTCGTCTTCCTACGCCACACTCTATCGCTCTTGCTCTTTTCCACTTTCAATGTCCCGCCTCGTCGTGTTACGAGGAAGCACAGATGACGAGCCACGCGACGAAATCGTATCGATGAGAGGATGGCGGTACCACTTCTTAAATTTAGATGTTTTTTAAAAGCTATTGACTTTATCAATTAGCTGAGCTGGGATTATAGTGACAACGAAAACAAGGGATTACTGGCTGTTTCGGTCCCTCGAGCTGAGTCTTAAGTTTCAATTAAAGCACGGATCAAAGAGAGAGAGAATGTGTATGTATAAATAAAAAGTGAACATGAATTTTCTGTTTTTTAATTTTTTAAATCTCTTTCTCTCTCTCTCTCTCTCTCTCTCTCTCTCTCTCTCTCTCTCTCTTTGATCTGTACTTTAATTAAAACTTAAGATTCAAATCGAGGGACCGAAACAGCCAGTAATCCCTTGTTTTCGTTGTCACTCACCCTAAAAATATCATACGATTGCAAATCGCATAACCAGAAATTATTATACAGTACCAGAGACAACCGTTTCCTCGTATATTTTTTCGTAAATTTATTCACCAGGAAAATCTCTAAAATAACGTGAGCCGTACACGCGTACAGAAAAGAAATGCAAAAATCATGCAATTAATAATTTCGCATAGTCATCCATCTTTCTCAAGTATCTTCTTAAAGCAAGCAGACTGCTGGTCGCAACGCGGAGGTGGTCGTATAATAATCGCCACCGAGAA